TTTCCCTTTTCTTTGTTGAAGAGGGTCTATGCAGTCCTTCTGCCTAGTCCGCCATCTTGACGGAACTTCCCAATCACTAACTTTATATGAAAAGGAAAGAAACCCCAGATGAGCAAAGCAGTATTGAAGAAGGAGGACAAAGTAGGAGGTCCCACACTGCTGGATCTTAAAACCTACTATACAGCCACAGTAGTCAAAACTGCCTGGTATTGGTGCGATGAGAGACACATAGACCAATGGAATAGGATTGAGAACCCAGAAGTAGAGCCATAGACCTATGGTCAGCTGATCTTTGACAAATGGCCTAAGTCCATTAAATCAGGAAGATAATATTTGTTTAATAAGTGGTGCTTGCAAAACTGGATATCCATTTGCAGAAAAGTGAAACAACATCTGTACCTCACACCATATACAAAAACTAACGCCAGGTGGATCAAAGACATTTCAACTGTGAAACCTAAAACTATAGAGTTTCTCAAGGAAAAACTAGGGGCAAATTTGTTGTTGTTGTTGTTGTTAAGTGCCGTCAAGTTGGACCCGACTCATAGCGACCCCTCCTTGGGTTTCCGAGGCAGTATCACTATGGAAGTATATTGCCCCAGCTTCCTTCCAAGGCGTGGCTGGTGGGTTTTTGTACCGCCAGCCTTCTGGTTAGCAGTCAAGTGCCTTAGGCACTACACTTCCAGAGCTCCCAGGGGCAAATTTAGGGGCCCTAATATATGGCATAAATAGACTATCAAACATAACCCAAAATACACGAACAGCAGAAGAGAAACATGATGAATAGGACCTTCTCAAAATTAAATTTTTATGTGCTTCCAAAGACTTCTCTGAAAGAGTCAAAAGAGAACCTACAGATTGGGAAAGAATATTTGGCAATGACATATCTGACAAGGGACTTATCTCTAGAATTTATAGAAAACTACACCACCTCAACAGCAAAAAAAAAATAATCCAGTTAAAAAATGGGCAGAAGACATGAATAGACACTTCACCAAGGAGGATATTCAGGCAGCCAATAAACATATGAAGAAATGCTCATAATCATTAGCCATTGTTGTTGTTGTTGTTGTTGTTATGTGCCATCGAGTCAGACCCGACTCGTAGCAACCCCTCCTTGGGTTTCCGAGGCAGTATCACTGCGGAAGTAGATTGCCCCATCTTCCTTCCAAGGAGTGGCTGGTGGATTTGAACCGCCTCATTCGCCGTTAGAGAGATGCAAATCAAAATGACAATGAGATACGATCCTGCCCCAGCACTAACAGCAGAGTTTAACAAGACAGAAAATAACAAATGCTGGCAAGGATGTGGATAAATTGGGACTCTCATACACTGCTGGTCGGACTTTAAAATGGTACAACCACAGTGGAAAGCAGTATGGCGATTACTTCAAAAGTTGGAAATAGAAATACCATTTGATCCAGCCGTTCCATTACTATATATATCCTAAAGAAGTGAGAGCCATGACAAGAACAGACATATGCACACCTGTGTTCATCACAGCACTATTTACAATAGCAAAAAGTTGGAAACAATCTAGGTATCCATCAAGTAGGAATGGATAACCAAACTGTGGTACATACACACAATGGAATACTGTGCAACCCTAAAGAATAATGTAGAGTCTGCAAATCACTGCATAATGTGGATGAACTTGGAAGACATTATGCTGAGTGAAATAAGTCAATCACAGAAGGACAAATAAATATTGTATTCATCCGTTATTGTAAAAGTTAAGGAACGATTTATATGTGGAAAAAAAAAATTAAACATCGAAAACACAGAATATTTTTATAAATTAGTAAAAAGAAGCTTACTGATCTTTATTGTATATAATGAAAGTAAATGCCTTTAAAAAGAATTAAATAGTGCAAAAATGTAAAGTAAAAGAGAAATCCCATTTTCTCTATTGGTAACAACTGTTAAAAATTGAGTGTATTCTTTCTGATCTATTGTGTACATTTACACATATATATATTTGTGTGCGTATGCCCATATGCACAAATTTGTACAGTGTATACTCCCTTTAGAAGCCCTGGTGGCAAAGCATCTAAACACTCATCTGCTAATGAAAAGGTTGGTGGTTCAAACCCATCAACCACTTTGCAGGAGGTGGACCTGGTAATCTGCTCCTATAAAGATTAGTCTAGAAAATCCTGTGAGGCAGTTCTACTCTTTCAGATGGGGTTACTATGAGTCGAAATCAACTTGGTTATGCTTAATAACATCAACACCTTTAAAAAAAAAAATCTGATCCTATTGTACTTGCTTTTCAGCACCTTTCTTTTCCACTTAATCCTACTTAGAAATCATTGATCATGAATGCATATAAACCAAAAACCAAACCCACTACCACTGAGTCAATTCCGACTTATAGCGACCCCTGTTGGGTTTCTGAGGCAGTGAATCTTTAGAGAAGTTAATTGCCCAGTCTTCCTTCCGTGAAGTGGCTGTTGGGTTTGAACTGCCAGTGTTCTGGCTAGCAGTCAAACACCTTAAGTACTTTTCCACCAGAGTTCCTTATGAATGCATATAAATCTCCTTTATTCTTTTTTATGACTGCATAAAAATTGGTATATGTTAGTAATGGTGTTTAGGTTATTTTGTATTTCTTGCTGTTCTAACGCTGCAGTGAGCATTTTTATACATATTTCTTTGTTCATACCTGCAAATATTTCTATGGGATTTGTCCCTTGAAATGTTCCCATTTATTCATAAAGAGTAAACGGAAGATTAACCTCTTCTTGATGACTTGTTGGTTTCCTGAATTTGTTGTGTTTATTACTACCGCTCTAGCCTATATTGATTAAAAATATCTATTTTGAGTATTTAAGTATATGCCAGGTACTATTATTCTAAATGCTTTATTTGTAATATCTCATTTAATCTTTTTAAGAGTCCCATCAGGGAAGATATTAATTATCCCTGTTTTATGGTTGAGGACGTTTAGGCTCCAAAAGGTGGCATTACTTGTTTAAGGTTACATAGCTAATAAAGGGAGAGCTGGAAAATGAACCTAGGCTCATAGTAAAGGGAGAGCCAGAATACAAACCTAACTTCAACCCTCCTCTCTTAAGTCCTATGATTCCAGTTTCCATAAAACCTTAAATAAATTATCTTAAGTGCTTGGGAAGGAAGTATGATCCTAGGGAGATAATAGTCTCTACAGGTAGCCTTAAGGCAAGAGGAGTCCCAGCATACTGAGTAATGGCAATTTAGGGAGAGGAACTTAATTACTTGCGCCACTAGCAAATGGAGAGACACCCTAAGACAGAGATGTTACTACTCTTAATTCTTAGAGTTTTGTTCCTTTTGTAGAGCTGATTGCCCCTATAGTGAATGACTGCTAACTTTTTCTTTTAAATTAGTATATGAGCCTTTCTTGTTTTTCTGCCCCGCAGCTATTACTTTTTAATCTTGTTAGAGTTCCCTCTATAGCAGCTCCCTTACATGGCTGATTACTTACTTTTATTTTGATGTGAGCTGGTAAATCAATTAACCTTTAGTTAAAAAAGTAAGGGTAAGTGGGTTTTGATCAGGAAGTTTACCTTTCAGTACAAAGCATAAACTCTAGAGCTTTAATTGAAGACATCCCTAAATATCTGAGTTTTTTGATGGTGCCCATAGATACGACACAGTGAAGTTCTGGATAGCTTATAAATGGGCAAAGTGTTACTCTACTTTTACTTTTATGACGTTTAGGCAATTACAGGGAGGATTGAATGACAGTGTCATATGCCTTTAGGAGACTGCAGTGCCATTACCTTAATAGTTAAAGGATTTTTATCTCCTATTCTGTATCTTGTCATGCTGTTCCAGGTAGAATCAAAAGATGTCTACTGATGAATGATGAATTTGCTCTTTTTCATAATTAAATGTCATAAATGCTGTGACTGCCTTGAATAACAAGTAGGGTGGATACTTAAAAAATGATGTCTAGTTATGTTGAATAAATTCACTTTTGGCTATGTAAACAGTTTTATATTATTGTCAGATCAGTTAAGTTATAGTTGGAAGCAATTTGCCAAGAAACAGTGTATCGGTACAGTCAATATTGCTTTTTTATTTGCATGTAAAAGTTTGCTGTATGAAGTGTGTTATTTGTAATTGAGCCATTTACATAATGTAACTCCTGTTCATTTTTTCATAATTTGATTATTAAACTTCTTGGTCCCCTACCCTCCCACTTCAGGCTTATGATCAACATTTAAATATGATATTGGGAGATGTGGAGGAAACTGTGACTACTATAGAGATTGATGAAGAAACATATGAAGAGATATATAAAGTAAGTCATGTAATTCTATTTATCACTTTGAAAATGTGATTCAGTCTCAACATCCAACAGCTTAAAATTTATTTATGGAAAGCTTGTCATGTGTAACACCTACATGGACTCAGTACAGTGTAGCATCTAAAAATGGGGGCTTTGGAGCAAGCAGACCTAGTTTTTAGTAATGGCTTGGCCACTTCCTAGCTATACTTTCTTGGGCAAAGTAATTAACTATGCAGACTTAATTTGCTCATTGGTAAATGGGGATACTACTAGTTACCTCATAGGGATGCCAGAATTCAATGAGATATAGTATAAGGTGCCTATGTGTGCTCGTATAGCAGTAATACTGCACAGTGTGTCTGTACTTGTTAGTTGCTATCGAGTTGATCCTGACTCATGATGACCCCATGTGTGCAGACTAGAAATGTTCCCGTAGGGTTTTCAGGACTGACCTTTTGGGAGCATGTCACCAGCCTTGTCTTAATGAGGCTAAAACTGCAAAATTTTAAGCATATTTTTTAATACATTAAAAACAGCAATAACATTAATGATATTTTTATGATCTGTAGTTACATTTTCTAAAACAAAATATTTAGTAAGAGTGGCATTGTTTGACGTTTTCTCTTATCTCTGTACTATTTAGCTTAATTAATGACAGCTAGATTCCCACACCTTTTTTTCTGCATTCAGTCTATTGTGATACGTTGTTTTAGTTGAAAGAAATCTGGCTTCATAGAGAGGTAATTGGAAAATGGAGGAGCGTTTTTTTGTGTATACTGTGCTTTGATGAGCCCTGGTGGTGCTTGACTGCTAACCAAAAGTGCTCAGCAGTTTGAATCCACCAGCTGCTCTGTGGGAAAAAGATGACAGTCTGCTTCTGTAAAGATGTACAGTCTTGGATACCCTATGGGGCAGTTCTACTCTGTCTTGTAGTATCAATATGAGTCGGAATTGATTCAGTGGCGATGCATTTGAATTTTGGTTGGTCTTTTGATACTACAACCAGAATCAACAAGTGGTATTTTCTTAATGGCTAGTTGTGATGTGGAATCTGAAGGCTTACCAGTGAACTTTACATACTCTCATTATATTAAAATCATTGGTGTATCTTGTGCTTTGAGTGGGTCTTTTACCATGCATTTTGCAACTTCAAGCACTGGTCACTTGGAGAATTTTAGTTTACTGAGTTATGCAGATCTTGCAGATGATATGTTAAACATTTCATTGTTTCATATGTTTAAAAAGTCACATTCTTTTATATCACCAATGATCTCATCTGAAAAATCTTTAAGTGTTGGAAAGCCATCTAACTTACAGTGGCAGGTAAAAGTTTACCAAAATTGTAATTTTCACTTAAAATTTTGGATTTTATCATTGGCAACAAATACTATTAGTGATTTTCCTTAAAATGTAAAGTTTCCTTCACTCATTTTTAAGAAATTGTCTGCCAGATACCCAAGTCTGAAAAACCATGCTTTTGTCTTTCAGTTATAATAATGATCCACAAAAAAAGTTGTTCAGCTCACAACTCCATTGTTCAAGTGTTTTTCCTTATGACAATTGTAGTTCATTAGGTAAAGATTGTTTGGTGTGTACTTCTCACCCAGAATAGTAAAGTATATACTCAAGGGTCACTTCTGAACTTTTTTTTTTTTCCTATTAATTGCAAGTGTATGCTGGTGAATTTAATGAGTGCTAATAGCCACTCCTCAAAAGGAAGATGGGGCAATCTACTTCCATAGTGATACTGCCTCAGAAACCCAAGGAGGGGTCGCTATGAGTCGGGTCTGACTCAATGGCACATAACAATAGTTTGGTACCACTTCCTGTATTTGTGTTAAGGTGCCACTATTGCTTGTGTGCAGTTGATACATGGGTCAAAAAGGCAAGTGATGTCTTAATGTTACTATGAAGATAGTTTTGGCTTCACAGAGCCTTTGGGTCTTAAGTGTGTGTAGACCACTTTAAGAACCACTGCTCTATTCTTTTGACCAGTCTGCATGACCCTCCTACAGCATAGTGGTTAAAACTATGGGATCAGATTTTAGGAATGCCTGAGTTCAAATCCTGAGTCCTTTCCTTACCAAACTCACTCACTGTTACTGAGTCGCTTCCGACTCATAATGACCCCCTCCTTGGGTTTCCAAGGCAATAAATACGTCTACGGTAATAGATTGCCCAGTCTTCCTTCCATGTTTGCTTACCAGCTAGATATATAATTGGGCCAAATTACTTAACCTGTTTGTAACTACATATCCTTGCCTGTACAGTGGGGATAATAATAGGACCCATTTCATAGAGCTGTTGTGAGGATTAATTAAGAAGTTATATAAGAAAATCTTCAGATTGGCTACTGTGCATATAAGTGTTCTGATGTTAGTGTTTGTTGGTTTTGTAGTTCTGTTTTGTGCTAGCTTTTCTCCGCTCTCCTACCATGCCTAACTCCTTTGCTAGTTTTCTTTTTTCCTCTAAATATAGGCATATAACCTTTTTTCTTTAAATGCATTTGTTTTTCCCTCAGAGATGTCATTCAGTCTTCTGATTTTAACTGTTGTATAATATATGCCATGAGTCTTTAACAATAATCAGTATGACATGAGTTTGAGCTCTTAATAGGATTGTGCTTAAATCAGAAATCCCAGAAGAAGTACTGCCTTGTTTCTAAGAGTAATGCTTCACGTATGTTCCTTCAACTAGGAGCATCAGCATCACTGGTGGACTTGTTAGAAATGCAAATTCAAGGACCGTACCTGACCTACTGAATCAGAGTCTCTGGGGATGGAGGCTAGGAAACCTATAACAAACTCTCTAGTGATTCTTCTGCATCTTAAAATTTGAGAACCATTGTCCTGTGGTGGTGTAAGTGAGGATTTGGCTGCTAACCAGAAGGTCGACAGTGAAACCCACCAGTCACTTCACGGGAGGAAAATGAAGAATCTGCTTCTGTAAAAATTTACAGCCTTGGAAACCCAATGGAAGTTGCTATGAGTCAGGACTGACTCAATGGCAGTGGGTTTGGTTTTGGTTTTCCCCCTAAAGCAGTGGTTATATAGGGTTATATAAAGACTATTGTATAGGGAAGAGTTAGATAAATTAATGAATGAGGGTCAAATATAATTTTACTTCAATTTGATGCTGGGGTTTTCCTTTTATGTTTCTCTAAGTATCTAAGATAGTCACAAAACATGGTTTTCACACGGATATTACCAATATTATTTGCCTGGGAGAGAGAGGAGACCTCCTCATCATACTATGTCTGATAAGACATCATTCTCAGTCCTTGGGGAAAGCTGCCAAAGCCAAAAGCTAGCAGAGGAAGGGAGGTGGTCATCGTGGCAAGTTTAACTATACAGAATCTCAAAGACAAAAATAAGAACCTCACCCTGGAGCAAATGAAGGTCTAGCTGTGTTTAGCAAAATATAAGAGCAATAGTCATATCTTGCTCAGAACAGAGGAAAAGCCCATCACCAGAATCCTCTTGTGTTAGGTGATACACTGACAAGAGCTCTGGCCAGCTACTTTTTACATGAAATTTTTTTTAACAAAAAAATTTACTTCTTTTTATGTTGAAACACATCTTTTGTCACTGTGGTCTTTTTCAATGAAAAGAAATTCAGAAGAATAACATTGAATCTCTTGTACTTTAAAAAGCAGAAATATGGTGGGGTTTTTTTTTTTTTTTTTTTTTTCCTGAGCAAAACATTTAACATGTACTCACCAAGAAACCTTGGAAAAGACAAAAGCAATATGAAAAAATAAAAACCACCTATCCTACCAACTAGAAATAGCTACTGAAAATATTGTGTTGTATTTCTGCCTTGGCTTTCTTCTTGCTTTTTTTTTTTTTTTTAATCTAGACAGACCATAATGTACCAATTCTAAAATGCGTTTTCTTTTTCTCTCCTGTTAACATCTCTAAAATCCAGATTCATCTTAAAGTTTATTTGATAAGAAAGAATTGTGTCATAGTTTAATTGGTAGTAATTTTCCCTTTTTAAGCTCAACTAATACTTATAAGTAAGTCTTAGATAAAGTTTGAAATACACAATTTTATATTCTACATCTGTCACATAACATTATTAAAATAAGAATTTTGCCATGGAAATACACTCTTCATTAACATTTTAATGCCTTGTTATGAATTCTACTTATGACAAAAATGACTCTTTACCTATGGTCTCCACAGGTGACAGGAGCACTGCTGCTCTCTCTAGATTTGCAGTGAGCTCACCTCTCTTCTATACTACAGTCTACAGACTATATATCTATGGATGTGCATTTCTTGGGATGGAGTATCTATTCAGTATCAAAGAGAACAACTGTGTCACTCTCCTATACACCCTCTTAGTATTTCTGTTGAAGATAGGAAACTAGACTGAATGATTTCTCATTTTGACCCATTTTTTACTTTCTTCTCTCTTTCCTCTGTTGAAATAACTAATCAATATTACCAAAACACTAAGTTAGGGGGACCCACAGACCATAAACATTTTCATAACTTTCACAGTTGACTTCTCAATAATTAACTTGACTTCTAATTTGTTACTAGGAAGATGGAAAGCAGTCTTAATCTTTGGGCTCTAGAGCCACTACAATTATGGAGTATCCATTTCTTAGCTTGCTAATGGTTTTTATTATTTAGCCTGCCCTACTTTTTAGTTCTCCACATTCCTTCACCAAATACCTCATATTTTGTCTCACCAGACTACTACTCTTAGAGTTGTTTTGCCTTTACTAAGTCAGTCATTTTGTTCCTTGTACTATCAGCATCCTCTTACACCTTGCAAACCTTTTATAGACTTTCTAGACAGTTTCAAATGTGTCTCTTAGACCTTTTTCTAGATCAGTGCTGTTCAACTGCAATGTCTGCAGTGATGAAAATTATTGACACTGTCCAATATAGTAACTGTAATCCATTTATGGCTACTGAGCACTTGAAATGTATGCTGGTGAGACTCTTGTTATGTTATTACGTACCATTGAGTCATTTTAACTAATAGTGACTCCATGT